TTTATTTTGTAAGCTTCGTTTCTTTGGAAATGCAGCTTCAAAGCTGTGTTTCCCTGTTTACGTGAGCATTTATGCGGAACACATGTTAGTAAGTAGGTCCACAGAGTCGCATATGTCTCGTTTACAACAGCAGCAGGGATGTTAAACTCCCGCACGCAAATAAATCATTGTTTGAATTTCCTCATAGATTTAGGGACCTGTGGTAGAATTTAACCCTGAAGGCGAGGGCTCCACCCTTGCCTGAATTAAAAGTGCCTGAGGTCTTTTTTGCCTGAGGGATATGGGGACGTTTGGCTTTATGGCTCCCACCTCCTATAAGCCACTGTTCACATACATATTATAATTACTCATTTAGCCAGAAAAAGCACACTTGGTCTGAAAAGCATCTTTTTTTTCAAGAGCGCCCTTGATTGAGATGTTTTGCCAATTATATTCTATGCTTTAAAGTTTAAAGCTATGGGAGGAGGAAACGGAAGAATATTTGAGGAAACTCAAGCAGAACAAACTCAACACAGAAAAGTGCCCGAGTCGAGAATTGAACCCAGGTCCTTCTTGCTCTCTGGCACAAGTGTTATCTTGACGCCCGGCTTTAATGTTGCGATAGAGCAAGACAATACTTGTTAACAGGAAGTAGTATACAACGTGACTCAGGCACAACTAAAACAAATCACCATGATCGTCATTAACACTGCCTTATGATGGACGTTTCGGGAAAAGGTCCTTCATAGCATTCATGGCTCTATAGTAAATAGATTTCTTTAACCTTACGTCCTCCTCTTGACACTCGGATCTGTTGATTGAGCGAATTGACCTCGTGACCTTAGTGGTTAGACACGCCTCCGTGTCACTATTGTTAGTTTTCATTCTTAACTTTAGTTCAGTATATTTTAAGCGACACACACGGTGTGATTTTATAAACGAGACATCCAGTGGCCAATACAGTAAAACCTTGGATTGCGAGCATAATTCGTTCCGGAAACGTGTTTGTAATCCAAAGCACTCGTATATCAGTTGTGATCACGTGACGCTCGGCAGACAAAGTGTATACGCGTACTACTCGTATTGCAAGAACTCGCTCGTTTATCAAATTAATATTTATTTACAAATTTTGCTCGTCTTGCTAAACACTCGCAGACCAAGTTAGTCGCGATCCAAGGTTTTACTGTACCTATTTTTTCCAACTGCGGAAAAATACATGAGCACAACATATAAAACCAGCTTCACACTCTTTATATAAATTAACTGTTCTCCAGCGCCTGACCCACGAACGGAGTTCCGCCTTCTCAATGCTAACCGACCAATGGCCAACGGCAGAGTGTACGCCAGGCTCGGTTAAACACATCCATGATAGCAGTTTGGATTTAGACTTAATGGCGAAACAATTATAGGTAAGGAAAGAGCTCGCTAAGAAGATGCGCCCTCAAACCGTAGTCATTTTATCTCTGGACATTTCTACTGCCAATCCCGAGACCTTTCATTCCTGCCTTTCCACGCGCCAGAATTATCGGGTTACCTGCTAGTTCAGGAGGTCTTCATGATGTGCACGCTGTGTCCTGGTCTGCAGTGAATGTTAAGTGGCCACTCTATCTTTGTAAACGTAGGTGGACTCATCGCCTCCCCCTGACCCCCCCCTCTCCTCCTCACTTCTCTCTCACAGGGAGTGGCCAAGAGAGTGAGGAGGGGTCAGATGGAGGGGATTAGACCTCGTATCTCTAGAAAGACAGAGACAGTCAAGATTGGCTACTAAGTTTATATTCCCTGCAGGAGAGGACAGCCGTGTGCACCATGAAGACCCGAATGGTTATCTCGAGAGAACTGCACGAGTGGACTGGCAGAAATCACGGGTCTCGGAATCGACACATTGGCACGGCTGAGGCTGTGACCCCATTGCTTATTATAATCACGCGGTGCACGATGTCCAATTCAATGCGTATTCATCAAACGCCACTTAACGTAACGCCATGCATGTCTTGAGATACGCACGCATGCACAAGACACAGTAATGTCAATGTACTGCTGGATGAAGGCCTCAACAGGTGGGATTGGTCCTGGGTGCTCGGGGTTGGCTGTCGAAACACGAGGCTCAGTGTGGTACTTTCTGATCGGTCATCTGTCCGACCGTGCTATCAATCGATGTCGGATCAAGAGTGTGCGGGTGCTGCGTAGACGCACACGTACATTGACACACTGCTGCGTAGACGCACACGTACATTGACACACTGCTGCGTAGACGCACACGTATATTGACACACTGCTGCATAGATGCACACGTACATTGACACATTGCTGCGTAGACGCACACGTACATTGACACATTGCTGCATAGACGTACACGTACATTGACACACTGCTGCGTAGACGCACACGTACATTGACACACTGCTGCGTAGACGCACACGTATATTGACATACTGCTGCGTAGACACACACGTACATTGACACACTGCTGCGTAGACGCACACGTACATTGACACACTGCTGCATAGACGCACACGTACATTGACACACTGCTGCGTAGACGCACACGTATATTGACATACTGCTGCGTAGACGCACACGTACATTGACACACTGGTGGTACGCTACTGCTGCTGCTGCTGCGAGTCACCCTCAAGTTGTTGAAAGCAAAACTGCGCACGGCCCATCCCCTGTTGGCGAAGCGCCATTGATTGTGCTCATTGTCATGAACTGCAGACGATAAATGTCTCTTTTTTTCGTGCCGCCTGTGGCCCCGCGTCCGCGCGCAGCGCAGGGGAACTGATGCGCTGGGGTTTATGTGGCCAGTGATTTCACGTTACCTGAGGGAGAGCGAGGTTATTTATATCACCGCGGCAGAGGCCCGGGCTCGCACGTGGAAATGTGTCCTGTGCTGGAGACGCGCCGTGAAGCCAAGCGAACAACGCATTGGCTGGGGACATTCTCCCTCCTTTCGCTCAAATTAAATGAGATTATTTTTTTACAGAGAGAACAGGCCGTCTGATTTGTTCAATAATGGAAAAACTGTACTCGCGTAGAACGTCTTACGTAAATTGTTGTTGCTGTCATTATTATTAGACTCATGTATACAAAATGCATTTTGACTTACATAACACCAAATTCACGTGTGGGGAATGATGGCGTAGCTTGCAGCACACGGAGCAGTGAACCCTTTGATCTGAGCGCCATTAGTGGCCACGGCTAAAACCAGCGATATCTTACCAGTCCTAGGCCATCTCGTCATCCTACCTCCACTGACCACTGTGGTGAAGTATGGTCAGACAACTCCCGGGACCAATCCCATATGTTAAAGTCTTCATCCAGCAGTACATTGGCAAAAGGGGCTGTGAATTGCTATTTATTATGCGTGCGTATCTCGAGACATGCATTGCGTTATGTTAAGTGGCGTTTGATGAATATACATCGGACATCTTGCACCGAGTTGTTATCATAAGCAATGGGGTTACATGCTCAGCCGTGATAATGTCTCGATGGTAACTGGAAAATTATGTAACAATGTAAATGATAAATCCCAATAATAATAATAATTTCCTGCTTTATCCTGCAAGGTGTTTATGTTTGTGCCAACCTTATTATATGTCATCTTGTCATGCTAGAACTGCATTTAGATGTACCTCTGGGTTTTTTGGCCGTGTAAAATAAAATAAAAATGTATACCCTCCTGCATGAATGCATGCACACACACACACACACAGAATTATCATTTTCCCAATGTGTAGGGGCAGAGAAACTAATATCACAATACACAGTGCTATGTACAGTGTATGAAATACCTCACCATGCATTTTTCTGAAGAGTCAATCTCCCCATACAGGGGCTTACAGCTGTGGATGCCCCAAGGTGACTTGGGCCCATTCCTCAGCCTAGGCTGCGGCTGGGAACGTCTCCTGGTGTAACCTCTACCCCCGGCGTGACCCCTCGCAGCCCACAACCATCTCAGCGATGATCTTTACCTCCCTGCCCCGCTTCGACCAAACGGGTTGCGCTACCCACCTTGTGTAGTAGCCACGGCGTAATTAACTTGCGAGAAAATTGAATTCACCGTCGTTTGTTTAACCGGGTCAAGAGCCCATTAGGAGTGTGTCTTTTGTAACGGAAGCCTCCTAGACCATGGTTGCATGTGGGCGGCTATTAATTTAATACATTTCTGCGGCTGGTAATGTTCAAAATATTCTAGTTGGGTGGTGCAACGGCCGAATATAAGGGTATAAATATGGCTTTTGTGTGTGCAAAAATTCCATTTACAAGTCCGTTGCTGTAGAAATGCTATAAAATCGGATTAGCGCTGCCACGTGTACATTGCACGTGTGCACGAACGCCCTTCCGTTCACACGTAATGTTGTAATCATACACACCTATCACACTATTTTCTTTTGTACAGTCGGAGTACAAAGGTATTTCTAATTCTGCGTTGGCATGTATAGTGGTGGTGCGTTAATGAAAAGCCAGATACAAAATACAGATTCGTTTTTGTACAGATGCAGTATTCAAATACACAACGTTAAACTGTCAACACGGATGAAAGGGGGGGGGGGGATTGCGATTGTGTATTCACGTAATTAATGTATGAACTGCACTTGTTTGTTCATTGCTGTACACTCATTTAAACGAGCAGCTGGGAAAGAAAAAAAACCCAAAAGAAGGCTGTGATGAATGCATGCGTGATATAATGATGCCTGGCCCTGCCGTTTCGTAATTGAGTCAATGATGTGATCAATAGGTACAAGAGTAAATCAATTTGTGGCCATTGTTGTCATTGTTGATTTTGATCATCTTGTTTTCCACTGCAACGTGTTGTTAAAAACACAAAAGATAGATAACAAAGAGAATTGCATCAATATAAATTTGTTAAATCATTGATGCCGAAGCTTGCGCGTTGTACATTCTGGGTGGGCCTGGTGCATTGCTTTAGAAGTCATGAAAATGAAACTTATGGTGGTGCCTCGTGAGTGGAATAATACACAAAGCTAACATGAACCCAAATGCATGAGAAATCAACAGCAGTGCCATGTTTGTTACTGCCACTCATCTCTCAAGCATTGGCTTTCATCCGCTCTATTTATACTCACAGAGTCTCTATAAATAGCGGAGCGGAGTTAACGCCGTAAGCGCGGTAGTAGGAGCTTCCGTAGCACGGCACGACGATGAGAAGAAACGGCCCGAATATTCTGTCGTTGGTGACGTTTTTCGCCACAAACCTGCTGCGGGCCGTGCGCGACAGTGTCGCGTATGCCGTGAGCTTTCTCCCGCGATGGTTGAGTTCGGTTTTGAGCCGATGCCAGACAGTGGCGGGCGAGAAGCCGCCTCATGTGCCCGAGTGCAGCGTGCTGCGTCTCGACACTAAAGTCTACACGTCCGACGACGACGACACGGCGGGGGATGGCTTGGACTTGGTCGACGTCCTGGCTTCCCGCCGGCGTTTCAGGCTGCGCAGGGACAGGCTTTGCGAGCACAGCGAGTACTTCAGGGCCCTGTTCAGGTCCCGCATGCAGGAGAACGAGGAGAGGACGGTGGACCTCAGCTCTGTGCCGTGCGAGATCCTCGAGCCCATCCTGGACTTCGTGCACGACGGCCGCTTGGCGCTGCTGACGCCCGACATCGTGTGCGAGTGCATCGAGACCGCAAACTACCTGGTCATGCCCGGGTTGCTGAAGGAGTGCGGCGCGTACGCACGCGGAATTCTCGACCGCCGGAACTGCTGGTCCTTTCTGGAGTTTGCCGAGTCGATCGCTTGCGAGGAAGCCCTGGCAGCTGCCTACTCGTATTTGAGCAGCAACTTTCTTGAGCTGGGCAACATCGGCAAGCGCCTCCCGCCCGAGAAGGTGGAGAAGATCCGAAGGCTGCGGACTGAAGGCGCCAGGCACCTCTGCGTCCTGAAAAAGGAGTGCGCCGTTCCCGCCCACCTGGCAAACGGAAGCGGCAGGTGCATTTACCATCTGAGTGTGAGGGCTGACGGGGACGAGGCCTCAAGAGGTGGTCGCTTCTGGGATGCCGGCGGTACGCAGACGAGCGTGGCCGGCGACCGGACACCCGGGAGCGACGGTGCGGCTGCCGCGGGCCGCAGCAGCAGGGCATGGCTGCGCCGAAGTGAGCTGCCCTTCGCCTCTGACAAGTGGAATTTCAGCACAGCGGTCCTGGACAACTACCTCTACATCATCGGGGGCCACAGGCACTGCCAGGGGGGCAGCTCCCGCGCCGAGTTCCGCTCGCTGGCCTATCGCTACAACCCCTTGACGGACACCTGGGCCGAGGTGGCGTGCATGCGCAAGCGGCGGCGGCGCTTCAGCCTGGCCGTGGCGCGGGGCTTCCTGTTCGCGCTCGGCGGCTGGTACCTGGACGCGCTGACGTCGCCGGACGCGCGTACCCGCGTCTACTCGGCCGTGGAGCGCTACGACCCCGCGAGCGACACGTGGACGTTCGTGTCGTCGCTGCCCTTCACCGACTTCACCTTCTCGATGACGATGACGCACGACGTGCCGCTCGCGGCCACGCTGCGGGACGACGTCTACGCCATCGGCAACATCGCCCGCACGGGCGAGAAGCTGCTGCTGCGCTACGAGGTGGCGCGCGACCGCTGGAGCGAGGTGTTGCCCACGCTGACGCGCGCCGCCGTCGACCTGCCGGCGCTTTACTGCATGGTGGCGGCCGAGCGGCTCTACGTGCTGGGCTGCAACAACGACAGCAGCGTGCTGCTCAGCTTCTCGCCTCAAGAGGGCCGATGGAGCAGGCCCGCGCTACTCCCCAAACTGTGCCTGGTGGGGCAGGGGGCAGCCGTGGTCGCGGGAGCCGATGGGAACGGCGGTCCGACGGCCATCGCCATGCCCGCCCCCGAGCAGAACTGTGCCGTGGTTGTGGAGCTGGAAACAGGCGCCGTGCAGCTGCTGCCGGAGCTTCCCTTCCCCCCGTCGCACGAGGCCATCTTCACCCTTCACTTCCCGGCGTAGTCGCCAGGGCGAGAACATCGGCGTGGACGGCCGTGTTTTGGGTTGAAGAGAGGAGCGGGATGTGGGGACGTGTGAATGAACACTGCTTATCGGCAGGCCAGCGGCTGCCCTAAACGTGTTTACTCGTTGGCCTTGATTGTAATTAGGGAAACGTGCTTCCACCTCGTTGGGTCCAGCCGAAATATCTTCCTGGTCCAAACAGCGATGCAGTCGCACTCATCTGGGTTTTCCGGTGATCCTCGCGGCGGCTTTTGGCTCGCCATCGAAAAAAGAAGGTCACGGCATCGCACGCTTTCAGATGCGCTTCTGCGGCCTTCTGGAATGTTCTTCCTTCGCGATATGAAGCTGCTGGAGCTATGCACTTTTAAATCCGATTAGCACTGTTGGCTAAATACGGTGCAAAACAAGTTATATGTACGTACATAGTTTACCGTCGCTTAGCCTGTGGTAGAAATATCCACATTTACATGGCAGAGGCAATCGTCGACTTCCCACGTGCGAACAGTGCTTCAGCTGCCCCCCACTCCCTGACACTCGACAACAACATCGCTTTAGTTCGGTGGGGGAAGCAGTGGTCGCAGTGGTTAGACTTTGGGTGAGACACATTTCTGTGCGTATGTATGTCAAATTTATTTCGCACCGTACGTAGCCAACCGCGCTAATCGTAAGTGCGGGGGAAGGACAACAAACTCAACACAAAAAAGCAGTTCTGAAGAAATGAGTTGTCAATCGAGATTTAAAAGTGCCGAACTCCAGTGGCTTCTTAATATCGGAAGGAGAAGAGCGTTCCAGACGGCCGCAGAAGCGCATCTGAAAGCGTCGCGCGATGCGTTGACCGCCGTCTTTGCTCGATGGCCCAGCAGCCAAAAGCCCCTTTGCTGTGAGGTTGACCGGAGTTTGCGTGATGATAGTTTATGCTCCTTGACGAGATCAGCGAGGTATTGTCGATCATCTGTGGCAAGCACTTTGTGTGTAATGAGCACGACCTCATAACGTATCAGGGTGCCAATGACCTGAGTTCAATTCCTAACCACAGCTCACATCAGTGGCGAATTATGTCCGAACTTGTTCTGGATTCCCCCCCCCCCTCCTTCACCAACCTGGACTGACCAGCATGGTGAAGTATGGTCATACAACCCCCATGACTGACACAGTATGGTGGGGGGGAGACTTCATCTTGCAGTAGAAATGGCTGTAAATTATTATTGACATATTTAAACCTTTATTTTAAAATGTAGTTTTTTGTCTGCCAACAGCTTCTCAAGTTGCACACAATGCCCATCAAGTGGAAACATTTAACACTTTATATTTGGCACTACCAAAGTGTATATATATATATACACTATTTGTGTGAGTACTGTGTGTTTGGCTTTCGTATGTTTAAGTAGTCTAGCAGGTTTTGATTCGAAGCTTTCATGACTGCAGGGATTAATATTCTTGGTTCTTTCGGTAAAATAAAATAATAAAAATATAAAACAATATATTTATTGTTTCCTTATTATGTGACTTTACCGAAAGAACCAAGAATATATAGTCTAGCAGGTTAACGCTGTTGATCTCTGAGTGGTTTTTGAAGCGTGAATGGCTCAGTTACGAAAAAAATAGCCGATCATCATCATCCGTGATCTAGCCACTGCTAGTTGAAGGTCACCCCAAGCCCGTCACCGTCTCACATGGACCTGCAATACAACAATCCGTCTCGCTGCGACAGACACACGAGCTGATTTCATTGCTCCATCTCTGCAGTGGATGTAATCTCTCGCGGGTGTATTGTCCCCTTTGGCTGCCACTCCCTGGTTAGTCTCAACCACTGGTCAAGTGCCCACATCCACTTAACTTTTTACTTAACGGTAAAAAAAAATAATTCCAATCCGCGGCGTCCTCTTCCTATTTGCCAGGTGCGATTCCAAGCGTTACGCCTCTCCGTGCGTCTCTGTGACCATCTCGTCGTCTACGTTTCTCTGGAAATTGCCATGTTTCTGATCCATTTGTCATTTCAGGTATCATGCACGGTCCTATTTGGGCACATTTTTACTTTTCATTCTTAAGCTCATTTCTCACAAAGCGCTCCCAGCATGATGCCAGTCTTCCTTGTGATCGTGTGCTTGTGTGGTCACGTAGACAGTGTACAATTAATTACCCGAACCATCGTTTATCTGCGCACCCTTAGCGTTGGCAGAGGGCGGCGACACAAGATTCCCGCGCTTGCCATGTGCCGCCCTCGGGCAACAAGGGGCAGCATTGAATGAAATGAACCCATAATGCCTTGCACGGTGGCACCTTTCATATCTGCAGCTGTTCCAGATTGCCACCACGCTGTTCTGCTGTAACACGGGGCACACATCTATAAACACAAATCGTGTTACATAGCGTTATTAGAGCACGCTCTGTTCTGCAAAGTGCCACATCGTATATTTTCATATTTCACGTCTCCCACCCTGCTTTCCTCGCATTTCTTTGCACTTTTTATTGCGTGCCATCAAACCTTTATATCGGCTTTTCCCGTGTAACACCCTGTACTGCACTTACCTGGCATTAAGCCGTGTATTCAATATAGATGTTTTCACGTTCCTGTATTATTATTGTAAATCAAGAGTTTTGTGTGTACATTTCTGGGCGCAGAGAAAATGAATGAAACGATTCTAACGCGCACGTTACTCCGTGTGCTTGCATGGGCGGCAACCGCGCTTGCAACGTAACTTCACGCACGCACGCGCGAGCCCCCATGAACCAAGTAATCACAATAAGTGTTCAGCCCTTTGTGAACCCACTGCTTGAACGCAGGCCTCCCCACGCCGTGCCGGTCGTGGCGGTTGCTGGACCACGCTGATCAGGGCGGGTTAGTGATGTGCGGAGGGTGCCAGTGGCTGCGCTCTGAAATCACTCGCCACCGATGTTGGCCGTGGTTGGGAATCGAACTCTGTTCTCCACGGTTCACCTCGCCACTGGCTCCACCACCCCCGATTTATTGAGTGAAGCAAATAAACCACGTGACTTTTCCTGGGAAATCTCAAGTCTTTCTTTTTTTTCCCACTCTGAATTATATTCCACCTCTGCTGTTAAGAGACGTGAATATTCCCTGTAGGGCAGAGCCCCATTGCACACCGAGCACAGCCGTAGGTGACGCAGCCAGCGATGTCACTTGGTGAGGTCGCTGTACCTTCAAAAGGGTATTTTAAAACGTTGATACCCACTGTATAACCGACTTTTACATTTATGTAACAAACTAAAAATAAGCATACGCCTCCACGTATCTGTCTCCTCCGCGTTAAAATACAAAACAGTTTTTTATTCATATTTTTAAACAAATCCCATCAGCCATACAGCCTTCTTGAAAGTGCATCATCTCAGCAGCATCTTTGTTTAACACAGGACATCTCAGCATTGGTTTTCACGTTCATTGTCTCCTCAGCAGAGTCTGCCCATGTGACTGTAAACTGTCACTCTCCCATAAGAAGTGAAGCCCAGCAAGCACTGGGCCTCTTGACCCGTTACATGCGTGTGCCGCGAGGCACTGCACGATTGCTGGCGTGCTTCCCGTACACAAATGGGTCGTAATCCGACAAGCGTCGTAGTGTCTAAAGCGAAATTCTCGTCCCGGGTGTATTCGGAGTGTATCTGTAGCTGACAGGAGGAGGGAAAAGAACAACCTTGTTGGATCAGTGCCACAGGAATCAATCAAGCCCGACGCCCAGATAGATTGAAGATGCATTAGACTGCGGGTCACGTAGAGCGTGTCATCTATTATAAAAGCCTGGCGTTCCATTGTGTCCGTCAACTAAATTCTAAGAGCCTTTCGGAACGCCTGAATTGAAAAGTTATAGAAAGTGGACCCCCCCCTCCCCCCAGCACCAGATGTGGGGGTAAAAAGTTGATCCAACAGGCTTACAACAATTGTCAACCCCCCACCACCACAAAAAAAGAAATGTATTTTGTAGGCGTATAGAGTCATATACACCTACACACCCTACATACAATAGTATCTACTATAGAGCCATATATACCTACACACCCTACACACAATAGAGTCAGTAGTGTCTGCACACATGGTGGGGGGGGGGGGGAAGAGGACATCATTGGGGGCGAGGCGCAAAGCGCCGAGAAGCCCTACGCACGAGTCCATGAAATCCGTCCCGTATTTTTTTTCTACTACCATCAATGCAATGAATCTTCGAGGTGTTATTTACAGGGAACCTATCGGGTTTGTTCACGGTGAACTTTTACAATCCGCTGCTTGTTTCGTGCTGTCCGAAGGCTTGTTTGTCATCGGGACAACACTTGCCTCTGGCTGCCGGCCCCATGTCAAGGCCTGAGCAAAGCATCCGAGTTCACCCGCAACTTTCGCTTCCAGTTTGGTGGGCATCGTCGATTGACGAACCGTGAGGGCGCGGGGCCTGGTGGGAGCGCGGTGCCGGACCGCTCCGTGGTCTTTGTGTCGTGCTCGGCGCATGTGGCCTGGTTGAGTCCGGCAGCGGAGACTGTCGGGGGAATTTTGTTTTGCCTACCGTCTCGATTTTGTTAAGTTTGGTTTGATACCCCTGGTAGCGACTTGGTGTGGCCCCCATTACGGACAAGATGCTTGAGGCAAGGCTTCGGTGGTACGGCCATGTGATGCGAAGTGAAGAGTCATCAGTGGCCAAGACTGCCGTGCGTATTGAGCCAGAGGCCCGCCGTCCACGCGGACGTCCGAAGAAGCGATGGATGATGGATCGAATAAAGGAAGACGTGAAGACGGTCAACGCATCCCCCGAAGATGCCCTGGACCCAGCCAAATGGAGAAGACAATGCCGACAAGCGGACCCTGCGCCACAGCGGGAACAACGCTAGGAAGAAGAAGGTTTGATACCCCTGGCATTTGTAATGAATGCATGAAGGAAGGCAGAATATTTTGAACTGAACTTATAATAATCAATAATCAATACGAAGGAGATTGCACTCAAACTAAACTCGTGTTTATTTTACCAGGTAAGGCCCACTGAGCTATGTAGCTATTTTTAAGAAGTGACCTTGCCACAAATGGTAACTCAACGAAATGGCTTATCGCGTGGAAATTTATAGCAGCCAAAAACTCTGAATGCGTGATGTTTCTAAATGTGGAGGGGAAAGCTGGAGGACCCGGAGAAAAATCCACGCGACCACGGGAAGAACATGCAAACTCTAAATATACAACAGCAGGCGTCAGGGTCGAGATCGAACCCACGACCTCCTGTATACCAGGCGAGGTAGTTAACATCCCACCACGACCATCACAGCACATAAGTGTCAGATTCGCATGTTCACGCAATTGACAAAACACATCACCTTGGTGTGGTTTGCCTAATTTAATAATAATAGTGATAATAATTTATTGAGTTCATCTAGAACATTTCACCCGAAGGTCCCAAAGTGTTTAACATCAGCGAAGGGATCATCATCAACAACAACAATAAAAAATGTAATACAAAGAGCAACTATATATAATAAGAATAAGGAGAATTCTCTGAACAAGAAGTGCAAATGATATACCCAGGAAAGCCTCATTGAGTGTTCATATTCTTCGTCAAGGATCCTGCATTGAGACATTTTGCCATTACCATTAACGAGTGTTTGGCTTTTGGCAGCAAACTCACGACTCTGTCTAGATTGATTGGGCGAAATACATTGCTAAAGTGCAATCTGGTCATTTTTCAGCACAAGTGCACAATTACAATCATGAAGACCCGTTCTGTAGTGCCGGAACTTGGCGAGCCATTACAAGGCCGATGAATACCTGGCAAGCCAATGTGGTCACCTGTCCATGTAATTTAACTACCCAAATTCAAACCCTCCTTAACTGCTGAGGTCTGATGATATCTGCCACATGCGGGGTGTGGTTTTTTTTCTGTTCACCAGACATTTTTTTGGTGGTGGTGGTGGCGGAGACAACAGCACTTTTTTTTTTAGCAAAAAAAAATTATATTCCGGAGAAAAAGAGCGTACCCGCCAACGCATCGCTTGTGCCCCGTGAAGTCGCTTGCCCTACTTGCATTCGTCTTTCCGCATAATGGACTCGACGAACGCAACATTCATAACAGTTGGAGCTATGACAGTTTGCATTAAAAAAAGACAAAGTTGTCGTGTAAACATGTGCACTGGCGCGCATCACACATTGGGCAGCTATGTGCGTTTTTATTTTTTTGTTATTTACGTACACGGGTGTGTATAGATATATATTACTTGAAAAAGACCAGGACTGGGTTTCAATCTGAGTAATGGATTGTGTAGCTGCTGTGGCTCCTGCATTGGGTGATGGCTGGGTTTTGAGATGC